TTTCTTCTGGAGATGTCTGATTTTCTTCCTATTTTATAGCTTTAAGGTCAGGTTGAAACATTAATGACTCTAAGGTGTTCGACAATATGTCAAAAAAAATGAACAATTTACCTGGAATATATTCTTCTTCAAACTTGTAGGGGCCTATCTATTTCATCTCTCGAGCCCCGAAGAGAACCCCAACCCCTTTGGACTCCATATATCTTTTGACTCTATATATGTGAGCACCTGATATCTATGAGGGTTCACCGATGTTATGATTTTATATTGTCATGAGATTTTAGTTTGGGTCAAAGAATGAACTACATGGTTTTCTTACGAAATTGAAAATTCATTGCAACAAGAATGTCAACAAGTAATAACGATGTGCTCTGGAGAAACAATAACGTATCCACAAAAATATGCTACGTCGCACTAGAAATGCACAAATGTCACCAGAAAGAAAACAATTATTTCTATCACAACAATTAGCTAGAAGAGCTGAATTTAAAAGGCAGCACCTCTTGGAACATTCAAATAACACGATATCATCATCACAAGTCGACAGTCAAGAAGGAAACCTCAATATGCTTACAATTTCTCATCCTTCATTCGCTACAAATGAAGGTTAGAAATGCTAAATTTACGCATAGTGTTACTTGTGTTGGTATATGTATACCTTTATACATAAAATTGATTTGTTATCAATTAAGGTACTTTATCTTCAACCATTTTTTAGAACATGCTTCCGCACATTTCGATACTTCTGGTTGCATCTCTACATTTGAAATAGGTAAGTCGGAGTAAATTGAAAAATTACAACTAATGAAATAAGTTATATCTTTCTAAATATTGAATTTTGAAATATCAGGATCAACATCACGAAGATATGATGAAGCAAAGAAGATGTCATCCCCACTGGTTACTTCAAATAGAGGTACGTCTCTTTTTGCTAAGCTAATACTGCATTTAAATTCTACTCATAATAGTATTATAATTTATCATGTACACATAAAAAAAGATTAGAAATCAATTTACAGAACTGTAATTTGTTGTCAAAAAATTATGTGTAGCTAAATAAGGTTCCTGATTGTAAATTTTGTGGGGAAAAAAGATTTGAATATGTATCACCCGGTTTTAGTTGTAATAATGGATCAATTAAACTGATTTCTCATCAAATGCCCACAGAGTTAAGCAATCTCTTTCTGGGCAACACTGAAGAATGCAAACATTTTCGTACCTACAGTTTAACGTACAATAATATGTTTGCATTCACCTCTCTTGGGTAAATTATGACAAAAATTTAGCACAGAGAAATCACGGCATATATACACTTAGAGTTCAGGGACAAATGTATCACTTTATTGATGATTTAGTTGCTGCAAATGAAAGACCCAAAAATTTACAACTCTATTTCTATGATAATGAAGCTGAGATAACAAATAGAATGGCTTTACCAGCTAATCTTAGTGAATCCATTGTGATGAAGTTGATGAATATACTAAAAGCTTACCCATATATTATCTTTCTAAAGATGTTCCAAAACTATCTGAATTCTACATTGCACTTAAATCATATTCTAGTTTAGACCAACGAACATATAATTTTCCAACCACCTCTGAAGTAGGAGAAATTTTGATAGAACAACAACCAAATGAAAAAATTTCTACACCTCATACTCGAATATACACCCACAATAAAAAATCACAATTGGTAAATTACTACTACAGATGTTATGATCCATTTGTTATTTCCTCACCGTCAAAATGGATGGCATTGTGGTATTACGAAATTCAAACAAACATATAACATTTCTAAATATCGAATTTACCGTGAAAGTGAACAACTACCAAGTGTAATGAACATGGCTTCAATTAAGGGCCTACTCAACATGGAATCTGAAGTTTTATCAAAGGGAAAGAAGAAAAGACAAACGGTTTCCTGTCGTGAATATTACTGTTATAAAGACAAAAAGAACCAAATAAAACGTTACATTCTGGAAGACTGTTCCAACAATTTATAGTTGACCAATACATAAAACTTAAGACGCAACGATTAAATTTCTTTTCATTTAATCAAAATTTATTTAGAATTGAGGTGTTGCAAGGGATTATCGATATATTAAGATATGGTGAAAGAGATGCTTCAAATATTGGAAAAGGATGAATACTAACTGCAACTTTTATAGGAGGTCCAAGAGACATGCGTCGTCGATATATAAATGCTATTGCATTAGTACAACATACATATTTTTGACAATGACTTGCAATCCTTCATGGCCAAAAATACAAGAACATTTATCGCCAACTGATGAAACAAATATGATTTAGTAAGTCGAGTATTTAGAGAAATAGTAGAAGAGTTTTAAAAAGATGTACTACAAAAGAATATATTTGAAAATGTTGCAGCTTTAATGTATACAATAGAATTTCAAAATTTGGGACTCCCCATGCACATTTTCTTATTATATTTACAGAAAAATATAAATTATTAACACTAGAGGCTTATAGTAAAATTATTTGCGCAGAATTACCTGATTGTACAGATCACGCTTTATACGCTCTTGTGACTAAACACATGTTTCATTGACCTTGCGACTATCTAAATCCAACATGTCCGTGCGTGAAAACAAATCATTGCAAATTCAAATATCCTAAAGAACTCTCAGAACAAACAACAAAGGGAAAAAATTCTTATCCTATTTACAGAAGATGAAAACTGCAAACACATGTACAATTCAAAGGATACAATATTGATAATACTTGGGTAGTCTCATACAATCCTTATTTACTTCGTAAATTCAATTGTCATATTAACGTTGAAGTGTGTTTAGACATTAAGGTAGTCAAATACATCTATAAATATATTTATAAAGGGCATGGCAAAATTGCATTTTCTATACATCATAATGACTCAAATGTTGAAATAGATAAAATAAAAGAATATCAAGCTGCTAGATGGGTCTCTCCTCCAAAAGTTGCATGGCGTCTATTTGCTTTTCCTATCAGTGAAATGACTCCAACTGTATACCAACTTCAACTACATATAAACGGACACCAATATATATCCTTTAAAAGCAATCAAATTGTGGATCAAATTCTAAATAATCCAATGATAAGAAGAACAATGTTAACTGAATTTTTTGAAATGAATAGAATTAATAAAAATGCTATAGAACTCAATTTATTATATAAAGACTTCCCAAAGTATTTTGTTTGGTCAAGAACATACAAAATGTGGTCACATTGACGATGACATAATACTGTTATTGGTAGAATTGTCACATGTCATTCAAATGAAGGGGAAAGATATTATCTTAGATTACTTTTAACAAATGTAAGAGGACCTGAATCGTATGAAGATCTCTATACAATTAACGAAATATGTTGTGACACATTTAGAGAAGCCGCAGAAAAAAAATGCTTATTACATTCTGATAAAAGTTTACTAGAGTATATGTATGAAGTTGTGACCTATCAAATGCCTTACAGCTTAAGCCGTCTATTCACCACAATATTAGTATACTACAATCCTGTTAATCCAAAAGAACTATGGAAAATATTTGAAGATTCAATGTCTGAAGATTTCAAAAAAATTCCTAATTTAGGAACAAAATCTATTCAACATTTAGTTATAAATCACATCAACGAATTTTTACATTTAATGGGACACAATATTAAGGAATATAATTTTGTTTCTGAAAATATTATTCCTTCTATAATAACTAAAGAAGAAAAAGATGCTCACTTCGAAAGAAATATAATAGTAAGCGAAGAAGATCTTCTATTACAAACAAAGTTAAATCCTCATAAAAAAGGGCATTTAATACAATACTTGATAGGGTATATTCAGATAAATCATGTGCTTTTTCTTATTGAAGGTCCAGGAGGAATTGGGAAAACATTTTTATCAGAAAATGTAAGATCAAAAGGATTTATACTTTAGCAACTGCAAGTTCTGGTGTTGCAGCTTCAATTCTCCCCGAAGGTCGAACTACACATTCACGTTGCAAAATTCCAATTGATATTGACAATAACTTTACTTGCAATATTAGTAAACAAAGTTCATTAGAGTCTCTAATTAGAGATTCAAGATTAATGGTTTGGGATGAAATCTCAATGGACAAACATAAAATGATACAAGCTTTAGATATTCTTTTAAAGGATCTAACAGTAAACCACATTTATTTAGTGGAAAAGTTGTAGTCTTTGGTGGAGAATTTAGAAAAACATTGTATGTTGTCACTACTAAAAAAACAGTGAATACCGACCTATA